CTTTCAGTCCTCAGGCCGATGCTCTATCCACTGAGACAAAGCAGCTAGGGCTAGAGGTTTTTGTTTTTTAATCTATTTCATCACACCAAGCCATCTTTATGAAGGAAAGATGCATACATCCTTATAATTCAACATTCTGGTTAAATATTTGCAAAATTAGAGCCACAAGTATAGCCATGGTTTGCTGGTCTCAGTAGGCATCAACTTTTTTTATAGTTCCATATTCTCTTTTTCTACCACCATTATCATTTTCTTCCCTATCCATCATCTCCTATTTAACATTCATAAAAGTAATAACTTTCTCTTCTATCTTTCCTCTCTTCTTTCCACCCTGTCTCTCTTTCTCCTTTTTCTCTCCCTATTTATCCTTCTTTCTGTCCCAATCTCTCTCTCTCAGCATCTCCTCAGTGAGGATTATAAAAAAGAAATTGTTATTACAATTTTAAGCTTAGTTCTCATATATTCCAGTCATGTGTTACTTTCAGTACCCGAAGAGCAAGAGAGATAGAGACAGAGACAGAGACAGAGATAGAGCTAGAGCTAGAGCTAGAGCTAGAGATAGAGACAGAGATAGACAGGTATGTTTCCTCACGGCAACTTTTTCTGTACACACGAGGAAGCTCAACCAATTGAGCCACTCCAGACGGGCATAACAATATCTTATAATTTCTATGGATCTCTGTTTTTATCTTTGCAAATTTTTTGCTAGAATAATGATTTTCCTGCAGGAATGAAGAATAGAAAATGGCAAATGTAATCTTTGTGCTAATTTAAGTAAATGTATATGGTTAAATAGTTGAGAGCTACTTAATTTAAAGGTTTTTTATTTTAAGTTACAGATGCAGTGATCAAGCATAGATCTTTTTTCTGTCTTTAAGTCAAATATTTAGTGATTTTGTTTTTACAGTTGTTTCCATTAGCCTCATCAATAAGCCATTTTTAATATGAAATGCCAAGACAGATTATCCGAAATGTAGGAAAAAACAAATCAGAATTTTAAGATAACCCCTATTCACCATTATTATCTGATAATTTTTCATAATGATATTATTATTTTTTAAACTAAACTCTAACAGTCAACAAAACAACAAGCAAAGGAATAAAAAGATGAGGTGGTCATTCTAGAACTCTTTTTTGGTTTTCTTTGTCAAGCTAAGGGGTGCCGGTGTACTGACTGGAAATGAACTGCATTTAAATCCTATCTACCAAGATTTCTCCTAGGATGAAGCCCTTATTTAGCTAAACCCATGGTCTGTAGACACAGCTGCAAAATTAGCAAACATCATTCATCATTTCTACTTCTGTACTTCTATCACCAGCAAAATTATAGAAACCTATATTTTTAGTAAACTTTAATTGCAAGTTTAAATTGATATTTATTTATTTAAAAAGCAGTTTACTGAACTGATTATACAAATCTAAAAATATTTCTAAAGATAGAAATAAACTTTCATCAGGAATAAATAGGATTTGCAAAAGAAGACAGCCTGTTAGGAAAAAAAAAAAAAAGAAAGAAAGAAAAGTAACAAAATCAGGCTTCCAGGCTCTTCTACCTTTTAATTTGAAAATGAGTATCATGAGGGATGACTTTATATACCTATTGAAAAATGCATAACAAACAACAGATGTATAATTTATGGAACTGATTGCTTTAAGCAGAGAAGCTTCAAAATGAGTATTTGCAACTCAGGTTGTTCTCATGAGGCAAACATATGCTAATTATTCAGAACTGAGACCTGACCATGAAATATACAACACAAAGGAAAAGACACTTAAAAAATGTTTGGGAAGTATTCTACCACTCTCAGAAATATTTATTTGCCTTTTTCTGTAAAAAAGAAATCAGATGGCTGTTAATACCCTTGAAAACTTCAATAGATGGTGAGATGGGAACTGTAAAGTTCTTTCATGAAACTGTGGTGGACATAGATTCCTGTGGTGCTGAATCCAGATCTCCAAGCTTTGCTGGCTCAGTGGATGGGTGGATGTATCAGCCAGAGATGATAAATGTCCTCTCAGCCAGACTCAACACATGGAGAGGACAGTGGCTTGTTTCTTTTATGAAATAGAGCCATAACAGACTCAAGACCAAAAGCCTAACATTAAAGATTTATAACACAGAATTAGCACTGTCAGACTTACATTATGTCCTGAAGAACTGAATTATAAAAGCCAAGTCATGTGTTTTCAGCAGCCTGAGGTATGCAAGGAAATTCTCCCATGAAGGCAGGCCCTTGCAAAAAAATGTCCTGAAATGGAATCCGATACCTGTTAGTACAAAAGTGCCTTGAATGTTTTTAACTGGTAGGAGAAGGGCATGGGAGAAGGGCTGTCTCTAAAGTAACTAGAGCCCTTCAATCACATGCAGGAACTGGTGATTAAAAAAATACACAAAAAAAACAAAAAACAAAAAACTAAAATGTCACAGCAAATCAAGTTTGAGCATGCTAAGCCAAGTTTTCACTCCTCTAAGAACAAAGAGTTTCAAGGAGAGATATTCTAGGCTTTTCAAATGTTCTACAAAGAGTATCTTATTTCCTGCTGTTGTTTTGTTTTGTTTAGTGTTCACTTTAATGTCCCCTTTGAAAGAGATAAGTTTTCTCCAATTTAAAAAGAGAAATTACCCTCAAGTGTAATGCATAAGATAGAGTAGAACACTTTAGAGTAAATGAATTAACTACTAGTTACAAGCATAGCTACTTACATGATTCTCAAAATTATAATATTGAGCAAAAACAAGTCACAGAATCCTAATATATAAAAACCCAGGGTCCGTAACAACCGACCAAAGGCTCAACCAAACACCAGAAGTCAGTCCTGCCGTCAATGCTGGGTTGCCGTGGTGACACTGCACTGACTGCCGAGGGGGCTGTGGATCAGGCCTGAAGACAGGCCCAGAGAGAGCCAGGGTCTGATCTGCAGCCTCAGTGGCAGCTGTTGATCATCTGTTGCCTCTCTCTCTCTGGGCTTCACCATCAGCTGCACCTCTGTTTCTCTCCGGGACTCCTCAGGGGCTGCTAATCAGCCCTGCCTCTCTGATTAGGCCTGGAGATAGGTCCAGAGATGCTGACTGGCATTGAAACCTACCAATCAGAACCAAATCTGGGTGAACTATGAGGAGCCAATGGCTGCCTAGGAGGCGGAGCTTTTGACACTGACTGGCATAGAAACCGACCAATCAGAACCAAATGGCCAGCAAGGGAGGGCAGTTAGGGGTGATCAGGAAGGCATTCAGAGAGGTTAGGGGAGATCAGGCAGGCAGGCAGAGGGGTTAGGGGCAATCAGGCAGGCAGGCAAAGGCAGTTAGGGGCGATCAGGCAGTCGGATATCCCCCAAGGGGTCCCCAATTGGAGAGGGTACAGGCTGGGCTGAGAGAACACCCCCCGCTCTCTGTGCATGAATTTTGTGCACCAGCCACTAGTATCCTATATAATAAAAAGCCTAATATGCTAATTGTCTGGTCGTCTGGTCGTCTGTTCAACCAATCAAAGTGTAATATGCTAAAGATATGCTAAGGCCACTCAACCACTTGCTATGATGTGCACTGACCACCAGGGGGCACATGCTCTGACTGGTAGGTTAGCTTGCTACTGGGGTCTGGCTGATCAGGACTGAGCAAGATGGGCCAGACATGCCCTGGAGCCCTCCCCTGGGCCCTCCCCAGCTGGCCAACCTCCTGCATCCACCAATCATACACGGATGGAGTCCCTCAGCCTGGCCTTCACCCTCTCACAATCTGGGACCTCTCAGGGATGTCAGAGAGTTGGTTTTGGCCTGATCCAGCAGGCCAGGCCGAGGGACCCCAGTGGTACATGAATTTGTGCACCAGGCCTCTAGTACATAATATGATTCCATCTATACAAAAGTCAAAAGTAGGTAAAAATAAATGATATATTTAGAGGAATTGATATGTAGATAGTAAACTATAAATAACAGCAAGGAACAACTAATAAAATTCAGGATTATTGTTTCATGAAATGGGGCAATAGGAGAGAGGGACATGTAATTAAGGAAGCTACTGTGAGGGTATGGGTGTCAAAATACTGTCAATGTTCTATTATTTCTTCTCTGGTGGTGAATGCCTGAATGTTCATGTTATTATTATTCTTTAAACTGAGTATAAATGTTATCATATACTCTTGTAAATGTATGACTCTCAAATTTGATTTTTTTTTAAAGAGTTGGGTCAATTTTTATCATCTCATGTCATTTCTTGAAATCCTAACATTTCTATTTTCTGAAGGTAACCTTCACCCAGAAATACCTTTGAAACTAAAGAGGCAGAGTTTCCAGACCTGCAGTCACTGCTGCCATAGAGCAAAAATTAAACAAGTACAATAAAAATCAGAAAAAAATCCCTGGTTGAATGATTTTTAAAAGTTTGCACCCACATATTACCTGCAATGACCTGAGACTCAAGACCTTTTACCAGCTGAACCCAATCTTTCTAAACATATTTCCAAGAATTTCCTTCTGGGACCTTTTACCTAGTTAAATATGATTCCCTGAGCATGACTTACATTTTCCATCTTTGTGCTTTGATTATCTCTTTCCAGCTACCTACATTTCTCACCCTCTTGATGACTGGCTATCATAGTTTGACCTCTTTTGGGAAACTACCGTGATAACCTTATAACTCAGCCTGAAATGCTCTGGCCTTTTTCTGAACTATTTAACAACTGCTTATTTCATCCTTCTAGCAGTTAACCTTGTGTGCCTTGTAACACCTGTATCTTCACCAACCAGATTCCTTTTCCTCCTTGGCACAGAGCTGAACTGTATTTCCTATCCTCCATGCAGGTAGCGGCAGCCATGTGACTGTGTTTTGCCCAAAGGAATGCAGACACCAGATGAATATGAATCTACCTTCTCCAGGCCTGGTTCTAACACCTCCCACAAGATCCTCCACATCCTCTTTCTCCTCTCATCAGTGGTTACTTATAGGGGACCTAGGGAAGCATTTTGAAGTTCCAGGGAATTGCTGACTCATATCAGGGATTAGCAAACTTTTTCTGTAAAGGGTCAAATAGTAAATATTTTAGGGCTTCACAGGTACATAAAGTTTCTGTTGTTGCTGCTGTTGCTTGTACAGCCTTTAAAAACATGAAAAACTTTCTTAGCTTCCAGAATTAGGCTGGATTTGACCTGTGGCCTGTGGTTTGCTGAGTGTTCCACAAGGTGGAAAGATCTTGGATTTCAGGATGTCTATGGTAAGTAGAGCCTCCCTCCCATTCTTCCCCACCCCCCAACCCAATCTCTGCAACTAACTTACTTAGATTCTGATGGGAACAATACTTCTTACTATGTTTAGCTTTTTCTGAACTATAGCTATGGGACCTTCTGTGATCCAATGCAGTAAAGAGATAAAGAACTATTTGGTTAATTTGAACCAATTTAAATTTCAATTTCAAGTAGAGTTCCAATTTCAATTTGGGGTCTATTCACCTCAATTAGTCTTCTTTACTAAAATAGTGACTACACTAGAAATATCCTATTTGTTTACTGTAGTTAGTCTAGGAAACCATCATGAGCCAATCAATCTAGCTAAGCCAGAACAGCTTGCTTTAAAATCTAGCAGAACAAATCTCCAAGTGGGAGGAAGAATCAAGAGGAGAATATGGAAGAGTAAACAAAGAAAGATGTGTGCTTCACAAATAAATTGAATCTGCAAAACGCATGGAAACTTCAGGTATGTCTGACTCATAATATTAATGTTTTCCTGGGAACCACAACCTCCTTTCTCTTCTCCACTTTTCTGAACTAACCCACACTTGTGAAGTTTCTGTTCTCTCTCTCTTTTTTTTTAAAAAAAATATTATCAGTCCCTACTGATGCATAGAACTCATTGGAATCAACATGCCCAGGCAGCCTTCGTAGCAAGTCAGAGTGGGCTAATGAAAGGTTTGAGGAGGAAACCGCCCCACAGCAGCCTGGTGCGTCCAAACACCTTGCCAGGAGGGTGCAGTTCTCCTGGGAAGAAAGCACTCCTTCACCTGTTTCAACAAGTTGTGCCCTTAAAACAGTAGATTGCAGTTATTTGACAATGAGCAAGTTGCTGTTTCCTTTCCTATGCTGACATTTGTTTTGTTTCTTGAAGCTGCAGGCCACCTCAGGGCAAATTTTTCTTTCTACACACACTTACTCATGTGCAAAACTTGGGAGGCACAAAAGGACCACCAATATCAAGCAAAACGCCAACAGATTCTTGTACTTTTTCTTGTAACGTACTTCTAGAACCAAGGGAATGAGGTGTGTTTTGGTTGTGATAGAAAAGGCAGAAGAGAAAAGCAATAGTTGGTTTAGAAATAGGGTCAAAGCCTCCTCCCACCTTCCTATCTCTGAAATCATATTCATATACATATCCTTTCACTGGAGTAGGCTAGAGAATAGACCTTTATTCTCAGCAACCACAGACAATGGACTCTGACAGCTTATTTACTTGTGAGCTTTGACTCTACCAGCCTCTGTTAATTATCTGGTGAACTAGTATTAATCAAGTGCATTTGTTAACTCTTTCGGGGAATTAGCGTTTTACTCTGACCTTTAAAAATTATCATTGTGGGCCTTTAAGAAGTAATAAAAAAACTCAACTGAATAATAACAATAAAAAGACCTCCTTCCTGGCTGCCCTGGTAGATGGTGATTAGTAGCTGCAGACTTTATGGTCCCTGTCACCCAGGACCAGGACACCAGAAGCCCCGTGCCTGAGTCTAATGCCTCCAGGGAACCACAGGTGGGGTGGTGGAAAGTGAGGAGAGAGTGTGGACTGGCTTTCCCCCTTCCACAAATGAGTGAATGCTGGTTTAGTTTGCTTAGCCTAATCCAGAATGACCCAATGGAATAGAGTAGAATTGACTTTGTTTACTCTCCTAATTTCTTTCTTCTAAAGCAATTGTTTGAAATATACTCAAAAGAGCAACTCTCCTATAAGTTTCTTGAAATGTTTATTTCATAGGAAGGTTTTTACTTATTTGATTAATTTTTAAGAATTTGTAGCATGATATTTTTCCCTCAAAATGCATGAAAAGATGATTATGTTTTTAATAATTTTTTAAACTTTTCAGTTACAGTTGACATACAATATTATGAGTTTCAGGTGTACAACATAGTGATTAGACATTTATATAACTTACAAAGTGATCTCCCCAATAAGTCTAGTACCCACCTGGCAACATACATAGTTATTACAATTTTATTGACTGTACTAGAGGCCTGGTGCATGAAAATTCGTGCACTGGGGGGCGGGTCCCTCAGCCTGGCCTGCCCCCTCTCACAGTCTGGGAGCTCTCAGGGGATGTCCTACTGATGGCTTAGGCTCCTGTGCAGGAGGCAACCGGGCTGATCAAGGGAAGGCACCACCCCCATCACCCCACTGCTGCTTCCACTGCCAGTCACGGAGGCTGCCTGAGCCCTGGGCCTCGCAGCCACTGTGGCTTTGTCCAAATGGACGTCTGGAAGATGTCTGCCCTAATTAGCATATTACCCTTTTATTAGTATAGATTCCCTATGCTGTACTTTATATCCCCAAAGATGAACAGTTTTAAATTTTGAGTATCTTAAGAGAGGCCTTGGCCCTTGCTAAATTTTGTTAGAGAAATTCATAGAAAGCTACTGTGAAGTAACTCTATTCTTAGAAAGCTCCTTATTCAAGACTTATTTGGGTCAGTTTTGAGGTTATTCTGGGACTGGGTGCACGTGTGCTCTCTCTGAGTCACAGATTCTGACATGTTACTTTACAAGTTCTTGGTCTTTTTCTGAACATTGACAGGCATATGAAAAATTTAATAATTCAGTGAGTAAAATATGCCTATGTCTGCAAGCAAACAGAGATGAAAAAAGACACCCTATTTTTTTTTACCACGAATCTTCCTAAGAGTATTAAAAATGTAAACCCAAATTTGACAAAGGAAAGGTACAGTTTTCCATTTAATATTTTCTGAAGTTTTCCATTGTCATGCAGTGTCTTCATTTTCCTTGAGATGAAAATACTTAGAGCCCAGCTTTATTTTAGAAGACTATATCTTGTAGAATGGAATCAATAGAATTAAAAAAGGGAAAAGGGCCCTTAGAACAATGTGGCTTCTGTGAAATATAGCTATATTTCATCAAAATGGCTATCTCTAGCCGAACCGGTTTGGCTCAGTGGATAGAGTGTTGGTCTGCGGACTGAAGGGTCCCAGGTTCGATCCTGGTCAAGGGCATGTACCTTGGTTGCAGGCACATCCCCACTGGGGGGCATGCAGAGGCAGCTGATCGATCTCTCTCATCGATGTTTCTAACTCTCTATCCCTCTCCCTTCTTCTCTGTAAAAAATCAATAAAATATATTTTTAAATAAATGGCTATCTCTACATTATGTCTGTTCAACTGATAGATAGATTTGAGGATGATTGTCTTTTAAATGACACTAATGTCTTTTGTGAATGCATAGATGTAAATCAAATCTGCTTGCTCTTAATGGGATATGAGTAGGACTTGCCTAATCACTAATATTGTCTCTATTTTTTTATAATTCTTTGCAATAATATTTCATTTATATTTTAAAAGTAGCTTTCAAAGTACAAAAATAGCTTCCAAGTCCATATAACAACATAGCATCTTCAAACTAAAGATAAATACTCTTTTTTTAGAGCTTAGGAAGTCCAATTGCTTGGGTTGCCCTTCCATTTGTCCATAACTTTGCAGAAACTTACCTACCAGAAGCCCAGACTTAGGTAGATCATTTGTGAAGATGCTACATAAATTCATGGAAAGAAAGGAAACCCTTTGTGCTGACAGATTGTGGGCAGTGGAGCAGGCTCTTTCCCCCTGGAAACCTTGGTTTCCTTTGCGTGGGGTTCTCTTTTCTCCATCTTTGCACGGCTGCCTCCTTCTTGTCTTAAGATCTCACCTTAAAGGTCACCCTAGAGTGATCTGTCTGACCACCCAAGCTAAGTAGTTGCTCTATTATATAACTGCCTATCTAGCCCTTATCACTAACTCATAGTCTTGGGTTTTGTTTGTTTAATGTCAATCTCTCTGCACTTGGAGAACATGAACTTTGCCTTATTTCTGCTGAAATCCCAGAATCTAGAATGCCTGGTAGGGCAGGTATTATGGGTTGAAATGTGTTCCCCCAAAGGATATGTTGGCATCCTAAACCTCAACACCTCAGAATGACTTTATTTGGAATATAGTCCTTGCAGTTATAATGAGTTAAGATGAGATCATATGCAGTAGGGAGTGGCCCCTAATCCAAAAAGACATCTATGTCCTATAAGAAGAAGAACACAGAGAGAACACGATGTGAAGACACAGACACTTGAAGAAGGTGGTTATGTAAAGGCAGAGCCAGAGATTGGAGTTATGCTACAAACAGGGGATGCTTTGGGCAACCAGACACTGGAAGACACAAGGAGGGATTCTCTCCCAGAGAACTGGAAGGAGCATGGCCCTGCTAACACCTGAACTCTCTTTTCAGATACTGAGGGCTGACATGTCACTCCCTCAACCAGTAGTCAAATATATGCCTTAAAAATGAAACTAAAGAAAAATAGGACTTTTGCAATAAAAACCTGTATAACAAATGAGCTAAAACATATCATTCTATGTTTCAACTGCTCATTCTATTGCAGTTCTCTAGTTTGGCTTGAAATATTATTATAATTTCATCAGAAACATAGGGAGGAAGATTTTTTTGTCATTATTTTATGCTCATTCTTACTGTAAATTTGTAAGTTTCAGCTTGTATAGTTTACAAATTTTTAATGCATCATATATATTGTTTCCTTTTTTGCAACCACAGGAGCATACCTTTGAGGCACTGAATGGAATCTGATAGTTGAAGTGAAGCCAACTTCAGTTTTTAAGGAGAAATTTTCATATTCCATGTGGGCAGATGCAAAGTCTGGATGAATAAGTGACAAAACAATGAAGAAAATATTCTGTGTTATTCATTCCCAAAGTCTGAGAGACCAAAATGGTACTAAGAAATACAAATTCCAAATTTGCTCATTTTGTGTGTGTGTGTGTGTTTGTTTTTTTGTTTTAATCCTCACCCGATGATATTTCCATTGATTTTTAGAGACAGTGGAAGAGAGAGGAAAAGACAGAGAGAAATATCAATGTGAGAGAAACACATCGATTGATTGCCTCCTGCATGAGCCCCAACGAGGGCCTCGGCCACAGAGGAGCCTGCAACTGAGGTATGTGCCCTTGACCAGAATTGCACCCAGGACCCTTCAATCCGAAGGCCAATGCTCTATGCACTCAGCCAAACTGGCTAGGGCTTGCTCCTTGTTTAAAATGATTTTTAGGATCACCTTTTTAAAAATCTAAAATCACCTAAAAACCAATCATATATGTGTATGCATGTGTGTGTGAAATCATTAACATTTGGGAACTGAAAACTTTTATGAGATTCTTTGTAAAGCTGCTAAACAAGTCCTTTTGCTTATACTGAATATTTCTTCATAAATTAGTGGTAACCATTTTAATTTATTCCTTGGTGCTATAAGAGCAATGTGTTTAGTAGGCATATTGTCCTATAATTTCAGTTTTCTCTCTCTCTCATCTGAACACAAGACACAGAATTAAGCACAAAGAAGCAAATGGATGTACTGAAAACAAAGAGCAAACGTTGTGGGTCATGTGCAGGGTCTGAGAGCGTTTCCTGTCTCAGAGGAAACATTTACATCATGACTTGTCATCTGTACTGTCTGTCTAGCCTAGTGTCTCCTAACTTCCTGGAATAAAACCAAAATAAGCAAAACAATAAAAATGACATTTTTGTGTGTGCGTTGGAATTTCAATCTCTTATTACTGGAATGCTAAATCTTTCAACCCTACTGGCTGTTATGCCTTTCAAAATTAACAGCATTTTTTATGTGTGTTTTTTTAAGTGTAATGCTCATATATATCCCCTTATTATAACAAATTATTTTAAGTGTTGTTCTGAAATTCTGCTAATCCTTGCATCAAGAGAAAACTACTGCTTTATTTTCAAATTAACTTTTGTTTTTACTTCTGTAAATAGCTTTAACAAATATCATTCTCCCTGAAATACTAATTTGATTTTAGATGTAGGCAAATAATGGAGAAGTAATATAAAACCAATCCTTTGCTTACTTTCTAAATTTAGCATTCTTTCCCCCTACATGCACTTGTTGGTCCAATGGTTTCCAAAGCTGATACATAAGCATCAACTTTGCCTTTATAAGAAACCATCCATATAGAGATGGAGATATATTTTATCAGCATTATCACTACCAGCTGCTTCACCATCACCACTTTTCAATTTGCAGAAAATCCAGCATTATCTGCCAAGTTGGCAAGATGTCAAAAGTGCATGGACTGTTTTCAATGAGAATAACTTGTTCAGTTGTAGATGAGCTTTAAGGACTCATGTCAGGTTTGTGGAGAACTTTTGTATTATAAGCTTCCACACTGCATAGATTAGTAGAATGGTATAGGTACAGAGGTCTGAAAAAATCAACAAAACCTCTGCTTTTCAAACCATCAAGAGTACTGCTTTGAGGTTTGTGCAGCCATGAGCGAGGTGTGCCCAGAGGAAAAAAACATGCATGGGCTGCAGGATGTGGTGAGGTGAGTGTGTGGGGGATGGGGAGAGGTTTAGCTGGTAAACAATTTGATATCTATTTTTAAAATATTAAAACAATTATGGAAGCAAAGGCAAAATTTTCATAAAAATATTTTAAAGTTATTTTCGGTTTAGAACAACTATTCATAGAGAATACATATTCATTTAACCTAGGAGAAAATTTTCAGATTTTCCTTATCCAAGGTCTTTATTATACTGGTCAGGAAATAAAAGTGATTTATCAAGCCACTAGAATCCAGATTTTCTGACTGTCAGGCTTCAGTCCTGATTGATAGCTCTTTGAGGAAAGAGGAAATGCAAAATAACATCTATTCAATTTCATTCATGGGCCAGACACTGTCATTGTCACAGCAGTAGTTAAGGGCTAAGCTCCCAGTCAGACTTCCTCAGTGGGAAATTGGTACCACCTCTATTTACCTGTGTGACCTTGAACAGGTCACAAGTTCTCTGATTACTAGTCTCTTCCTGTATAAAATGAGAATCATAAAGGAACCTTCCTCACTGACAAGGTTTAAGTGAGATGATCCTCAGAAAAGGCCTAACAGTATTGGGCACATAAATGTTGGCTCACCAAATACTGAATGAAGGAAAAGAGAGAAAGAAAAAACTTTGTATGTCATAGTGGTGGGGAGAATGAAATGGGAGTAAATTTTGTGCCTGATTTGCAAATGAGAAAAATTAGGTTGAGTAAAATTCAGTATTTGCCAACAAGTTACAAAACCAGAAGGTGCAGTTGTCTCTATTTGAACCCAAAGTTCAGGTTGTGTCTGTTACACCACCATGCCTTCTTATGAGAGGAGCAGGAGGTGGAAAGCATATGGAGACCCTCCACTTTGAGAGCTGGCTGCTTCCCAGCAATTCTAGAAATCTGTGAGGCTCCAACAGGGTGCTGCCCAGGTGGCAGAACCCCATGGGAACACTGAGGTGATAGTGCAAATATCTCTCTAGGTTGAAGTCTGGAATGTAACCTTGGCTCCCTTTCGCTAATTACCAGTTCAGTCTCAAGGACAGGTGCCGTGCCCTGTCTTTCTGCAGAACTGACTCGCCCCACGCCCAACACTGTAAGAGCTCACTCTGTGTCAGCCCTGCCAACAGCGTGACCTTGGGCAAGGCACTAACCTCTTCAAGGTTGGATTAGAACAGATCCTCAGGCCACAGTCCTGACCAATCAACTCAGATTCTTACAGAGTGAGACCCTGAAATCGCTATTCTTCATGTAAATTTTTCACCGAAGTATACTTAAATCAGATCAAAACTACAAATAATGTAAGTACATAGCTCAATTAATTTTCACCCAGTGACCACTGTCTCAGCTCAGGTAATAGAGCAATCCAGTCCAGAAGGCACTCCTGTATGCCCCCCACGCTCCCAAGATAGCCACTATAGTCTCACCTCTAACATCATCCCTTACTTATGCTATTTTTGTAATTTATATAAATGGAACTACGCAAAGTGTGCTCTTTTGCATCTGGCTTCTCTTACTCAAAAGTATGTTTGTGAGAATCATCCATGTTACTACATGTAGTTATGGTTTGTTCATAACTATATGGTAGCAGCTCTACCTCCTGTTTGTAAATAAAGTTTTTTTGGAGCACCACCAGGCTAATTTGTTTCTGTGTCATCTACAGCTGCTTTCACACTACTATGGCAGAGCTTAGTTGTGACAAAGACTATACCTCGCTGCCAAAGCTGAAAATATTTACTAGCTGGCATTTGACAGAAAAAAGTTTCCTGACCCCTGCTCTACAGTATCCAGTCACAAGTATCCAACATTTCTTCATTCATTCTACTATTGATGGACATTTGGATGGTTTTTAGTTTTGCATTATTACAAATAGTGCTGCTGTGAACATTCTTGTATCTGTCTTTTGGTGACATATGTATAAATTTCTATTGGGTATATAGCATATTCTAGTATATATGTATACATATATATTTTTATGTATGTATGTATGTATGTATGTATGTATATAAATTTATATTTTAATCTCAGATTGATTCTTATGTACAGACAGGATTGGAAACTTCTGTCTTAGAGATGTTCAGAGAATTTAAACCCAAGCTATTTAAACCGTCTTGTCCAAGCTCATGATAAAAATAATTGGCAGAACTGAGATTGACAACCAAATTCCATTTCTTGGAACAGTTCTGTTTTTCCACTATAGTTCCTGTAGTCATTATCTTTAGAACATTAAAATAAAAAGGTCTTTACTTATCCAAGTTCTTTCACAAATGTAATTCTTTTCTACCATATCTGGTTGTACATGTTCAAGAACAGGAAACTCATTGCTTTAATAGAATTTTAGAGAAGGAAGAGATTATATAAATCACTTAACCCAATCCCCTCATTTTATAAATTAGTAAATTGAGTTATAGAGATACTAATAATTTGCCCAAAATAGGCATTTTGAGTCTTGACTTTTATCATGTATTACAAAATGATTTTGAATGTGCTATTTTTGTCTTTGCATTTGATACTATTTAAGTCAATTAACTTGCAAAAGTAGTACCTGTACCTTTTAACTATTTAAACATTTCAGAAGTATCTGAAGTAAAATTAATTTTTCTCCTTCTTTCACTGTATAGACTCTCCCCCATACATATATAAAGATAAATAAATCCATGTAACTTACATGAGCCCATAACTTTAATGAGGAAGAAATATAACTTCATTTTTCTTTAACTCAAATTAATTTCTAGTCTGAGGTTCCATTCCCATTTGCTAGGTGGCCACTCAATCTCAGTTAATTTGGAATACCCTCCCTTTTCCTGTAGTTGTGCCTACATTTCGGGGGGAGGAGGGTTGTAGTACCAGGAAATTGAGTGTGAGGTAGAGACTAGAGCGCATCTGATCCTTGGTATCCATGGTGATGTTGAGACATCTTTCACCTTATCTGGGCCTTGACTGCTGGTCCCCACAGATGTGTTGGCCCTTGTTGTCAGACCCTGTCAGGGGTAGTGGTTTCTGTGTCATTCCTGAGCCTGGGGAATCTCTGCCAGGCTGCCTGGGGTCCTACCTGCCCTGGCTCACTACACCATTTCCTCTGTGGGCTCTTGCCAGCTTTCCTGGCCTCCACCCGAAACTGAGACCCAGGTTTCCTGGTCATAGATGCCAGCAGCCTAGCTGAAGTTTTCCACTTACCCAGGATTTATCTGTGGCATTCATCATTAGGCCCCTTTCTTCCACGCTTACCTCAGACACTTGCTGCTTTCCTTCTGATACCTCTCATCCCGCCCCTCCCCTCCCCCCGCCAAGCTGGAAGCATCTCCTCTCCAACCTTAAGTAAGCATTGCATACACGTGTTTTATATATTTGCATTTTTATTTCTGTCAGGTATCTTTTCCAGTCAGGTGGAGGGGAAACTCCTCTCTTCTCAAACCCTCAAACACTTGCAAGTTTGTATTTTTAGAAACTGGTTACTAGGATAGTTCTTTTGTCTGTTTGTACCTCCCTCATAACAAGAAGCCCAGAGTAGTCAAGGAACAAATG